TAAAGGTGGCACTGATGCAGCAATATATAACAGTCTTGCTACTCTACATAACATTCCTGGTGAGCTAAAATGTGGACAATGGTATGTTCAATGCCTTAACTGGATGGTCCTGATCACAGAAGCCTTAGTCAGGCATTCAACATAGGGATTAAAGAAAACATGCAAGGGAAGATATGTGCCAGCCCTGGCTTTCTCCAGTCCTTTTTCTCCACATGAGTAGAGTGTGCAGATAGAACTAAATTTGAAGAAACAAACTGTTTTTACACCTATACATGAACAGAAACTCTGATTTTTCATGATTTCTAATCACAAGCAGATGCTCCATGAATAGAATCAACTCTTCCCTTCAGATTTCACTCAACACCCATGGAAAGTTTAGAGACGGTGTGGTGGGCTAGCACTCTCCCTTCCTCACGTTTTTACTTCAACTTCTTTGTTGAACAAATGAGTAGGTTTATAGAAAGACATTAATTTAGGTCAGCTTTGTGGAATTTCTATGGTATTAAAATAATCCACATGAGAGACAACCGCATTACTATCTTGAAAGCCCAGGGTGCACAGAATTTGTTTCTAGTGGGCCATGTGTCAGTTAACTACTGCCCTTCAGCCAGGGCCTGGTACTCAAGTAGTGATTTTGATGGAAAAGCACCATTTCCGCCCTCTTTCCAGTCTTCTGACTGAAGTACAACAACTTCATCATCAGTGTGGCCTAACCACAGACTGGGGGGCTGTAAAATGAAGGCTCAAGTTGCTGCCCTGTCTGAATACCAACTCTGTAGTGCTTATCCGGGTGGCAGTGGCAGCTGATGGAAATCTTTTAGGTGTCCAGTAATAGAGATATAAAACCTCTCTTGTCTCATCTTCACATGTGAGGGTCAGGAATTGAAAAATTATTTCTACTTTCTAAAAGGGTGAGTTATTTTCTAACACTGATGGCACCAGAAGGAGAATAAAATGACTAGTGTACAAATTAAGCAAGAAGTGCAGTGGACCCTTGACTTACAGACGGCTTGACTTACAGACTTTTTGAGTTACAGACTTCTCTGGCCGCAAAATTTAGGTTTGACTTGCAACCTGAGAATTGACTCACAGATCAGAAAAAACCAAAATGGAACAAAAACGGCCTGTTACGGGATTAATCGGTTTTCAATGCACTGTAGGTCAATGGAGACTTGACTTACAAACTTTTTGACTTGAGAACCGCCTTCCAATACGGATTAAGTTCTCAAGTCAAGCCCCCACTGTAAATAATGTTTCAATGTCAACAATGCTTTGTTGCATTGGAAACACTGAATTAGAAGCATCAGAGAGGTTGCTTGCACCTTTTAAATAAAACAATTCATCAGTCATTCTGTGTATGTCTACTGTACTTTGCTTCTCCAGGGAGAATAACATTTCTGTGCAGACATAATTTGCAAAAATAATGGAGATCTTCATTGCTGAAACAAAAAAAAAGTCTGCTACCAGGGGTATTGCTAGGCAGAACTCTAAAGAAGAATGAACATAAAATTCCTTGTTTCATTCTTGCCTAGAAGCAAGGAATTTCACAGTGATAAAGTTCCATGTCAGCTTATCAGGAGTTAAATCCACACGGGCTGTGATCATGCACAATCATTGCTCCGTTTGGGCAAGAAATAATGACATTCAGGAACTATATGTTTGAAACAGCTCTAGACTACTCAGCACATAACCTAATGCCTGCTAGTGAAACAAAGTATTTGAAATAAAAATAAGATATCATGGATCTAAATACATAGAATTAGAGGCAGGTAAGAAATATTAAAATATATCAGCCACTTTTGTGGTGTTGTTTGGTGATTGACCTGAATATGTATTAGAGCTGGCCTTCCATGCCCCACCCCATTTACTGTATTTCCTTCCTCCTTTCTTATGTTTTTCTCTGATGTGTCTTTTCTTCTAGAGTTGCAAGTATAAATTACCAGCATGCCAAAGAAACAATCACAGCTGCAGGTACATGTAGTGAGTTAGAGGAATGGATAGGCTAGGATCAAAAATAGATGTGGTTTCTATCTTATCCCTCATAAAATTAAGTAAGCATGGCATTGTAGTGAAATGCCAACAGGTGACATCATTCCTGCCTGTCCATCACAGAAACTCAAGAGGGAGGAGCCAAGGATAGGGCAGGAGAGGCAGAGTTAGAGAGAGACAGTTGGAGATGTGAAATGGCAATTAGGGTCTAGGAGAGAGTTAATGAATTGAGCTGAGAGTGTTACGAGAGGGAATTGAGAAGGTTAAACAATATTGAACAAGCAGGAATGAAATTATAAGTACTATGAGAGAGATATTGATTAAACATATATAGTAGTTCGGAATAAAAGTGATTGCCTACATGAACCAATCCGTGTTAATACCTGAAACAGTTCATATGTGATTTACCTTTATGATTTACTTGACAATAAAAGAATGTGTGTTAATCAAACCTCTGATTCCTAAGTTCAATAACCCTTAGTTTTGGCAGCACACGTGTATAACGTAATACGTATTAGGAGAATACCTGGTGGCAGTGTGAAAGAAAAAGGGTGTAATCCTTTGTGAGGGCCAAGTAAACAGGGGCAACAAGGTCGATCACCACAGGCATATTATATACAGCAGAATAAATCCGCTGTTTGGCAGATCAGTGATCAAATATGTGGAATAGTTCTGTCTTCAATTTCTTGCTTGCCTTTGCTTTAAATCCCTATATAGTTGCACCTCCTGGTGAGAACTATTTTGCTGTAGGCTATAGACATTATATTCTAGCTGGCAGGATAGCTCAATAGCTTAGGTGTATGGCTATGCAGTCAGAGGTTGGGAGTTCAAATCTCTACTGTGCCTCCAGAGAAAAGAGCCAACCTGGGCAAACTGTACAGTCCCAGGATGCCCCCAGAAGAAGGGACTGGTAAACCACTTCTTAATAATCTGTACACCTATAAACCCTACAAAGTGTCACCATAAATCAGAATTAACTTGACCGTTATTATCTGGAATTCACATTCCAATGGGAATAATACAACTGGAAAACAGAAAAAAGTATCACAACATGCTTTTCACTAATTTTAATTCATTACTGAGGTGTAAAGATATTTCTCCTTTCCTTTGGCTGACTTCATTCCAGAGGAATAGCCATGTGAGTTTGCTACAGTGATATCCTCACCTATTGATATGTGATGTGTCCACAGACATGTGTGTGCATGTCCATACACATAAACACACACTTCCTATGCCACTTTGAAAACTAACATCACATAAAACAACCAATTGGTTTCTTTTTGAGGTACTACAAAGCTTTTGTTTTTAATTTATTTGTTAAGCATACTTCATAGTATGCTTAACAAAACACATATTTCATTTAATTCAGAGTACAGAATTCATTAAGAAAGCTAAGAACATATCATCATGTGAAAAAGAAAGTACACTCTCTTTGAATTCTATGGTTTTATATATCAGGACACAATAGAAATCATCTGAACCTTAGCAGGTAAACACAACCTCACATCATCAACAACACATGACATATTACATTGTGTCATGATTTATTTTACAATAATAAAGACAAAATGGAGAAGCCATGTGTAAAAAACTAACTGCTTCCATAGGAATTAAGAGGCTAAGCAGCAGCCAGATGCTGCTAACCAAATACCCTTGAGTAACTGATCACCAACAAGTGTGACCACCTCTATAAAAACCAAAGTTTTAGCAGTTTGCTGATCTGGAGCATTCAAGTGTGTATTAACAAAATGCCAAGGAGGAAACACATCAGCAGTGATCAATTGTTGCTGCACATCAATCTGGAAAGGGTTATAAGGCCATTTCCAAACAATTTAAAGTCCATCATTCTACAGTGAGGAAGATTATTTGTAAGTGGAAAATATTCAAGACAGTTGCCAATCTTCCAGGATTGGATATCCAAGCAAATTCACCCCAACATCAGACAGAGAAATTGAAAAAAAAATCTCAGACTTTACAGGCCTCAGTCAGTACATGAAATGTTAATGTTCATGATAGTCCAATTAGAAAAAGCCTGAACAACTTTGGTTTGTTTGGAACAATTGCCAGGAGAAAGCCTCTTCTCTTTAAAAAGAACATGGCAGCACAGCTTAGGTTTTCAAAGTTGCATCTGGACAAACTGCAAGACTCCTGGAACAATGTCCTTTGGACAGACGAGATCAAAGGGCAGATGATTGGCCATAATGCACAACACCACATTTGGTAAAAATGAAACAGTATATTGGCACAAAACCCTCATACCTAGTGTCAAGCATGATGGTGTAGGGGTGATGATTTGGGCTTGTTTTGCAGCCCCAGAACCTGGACACCTTGTAGTTATTGAATTGACCAAGAACTCCTCTGTAACCAATAAAGTTTTGGCCAAAATGTTCATAAAAGGAGCTGTGTTTAGTTATTTGAGATCCATTCCCAAGGCCACTATCAGGCTTGTTGACAAGTAAGTAGCCATCCTAAACAGGTTTTGCATCCATCTTATAATGCATAATAAATGCATTAAGCTTTTGTAACCATAACATAAATTAAAGAAAAAAGATGCTAAACAAATAAAAAGAACAAATACTTGAGAGTACACAACTATCACAAACAAAGGACAAAAAGACAAACACATGGTAGATGTGCCATATCATCCTCTACTCCAGTAATTGGTGTTTAGCCCTAGGAGGTGGAAGGAATGAAGAGGATATCATTATAAAATATATTTCAGCCAGTTGAATATTACGTATTTCTTCAAATTGGAAAACTTAATTGTGAGATCTCTTCTTCTACTATTAATCTTTTAAATGCTGTTGTAAGTACTCACACATTCTATCTAAGTGTCTGTTCCTGGTGTTTAGCACATTCAGTTGTGTTTTTAACAGAAACGAATCTTGTGCATTGAGTTTTAGATAAAGGGGAGATAAATCGGACATCTAGTTAAGAACAAGATATACTGAAATCCTTAGATCTAAATGTCTTGCCAATCATTGTAATTGTAATTGTAAACCCCTACTCACTTGTCATTTAAAGCCGCCACACCAACTGTGCTCCTGGCAATAGACATACTGGCGACAAATGTCCACTGTTGACTTTGGGGGTCCCACCTCTCGACTGTATTCAAATAGCTCCAGCCATCATGGCCTCCCACTGCGTAAATTGGCCCTTCAAGAACGGTAACTCCTAAAAAAGGAGAAGAGGCAGAGAAAGAAAATCACACATCCAGGAGTTGGAACAAAGCTTTGAGTAGGCTAGCAGGGATGAGGCAGGCAAACAGTCCAAGCTGCCAGCCCTGACGTAACAGTATTTGGGGCCACTTGAGGAATGCCAATGTAATGCATATTGGCATCTCTAGAAGAATAGTGCATCTGTGGCCACACAGATTTGCAAGGTGGTGACAGCACATTAAAAGAGTCAGTTCCACTCTGCTCTTGTCCAGTCCTCTCTGAACATTTCTCACCCTATCTTGAAACTGTGTCCCAAGACTCAGTATCCTGGCAAAAATCATGGAGCTTGGGGGTATACCAACCATCATGATCCCAAAGAAGGCATGATATTGATGTCATAATTTCCAGTTAAGAAGAGACAGCACAAAATGTATCAGGTGTTACGATGAGCCATCCCAACCTATTATCTTCTTGGTTCTCCAAAGTGACATTTGGAGAAAGACTTGTAAGAAAGAACTGCCGGAATGGCTAGGCAGGCTTGCAGCCCCCTTTTTTAGTTGGGTTAAGCTGAAACATGCTTGCCCTCATTTGAAATGGGGGGGTGGTAAAATTTTGAAGCTAAGGGCCAGACAGACTTTCAAGTTATTCCCAGTATGAATACTCCCACCATCTCTAGTATGAACCTAAGACAATCCATCCAGGTTCAGCTCCCTGTTTCCATCAGGGGACAGCCATGTGCTTTTGAACACTAGGAACCATAACACAAAGGTGATGGATTTTGCCTAACCTCTGATATTCATCACCATACCTCTTGCACAAAAGTTACATTTTCTACCATGGGTAATAATGTTTGGTGGGTCTAAGCTCCTTTTCTAACCTACTGCAATCATACACTTTGTGATAGCAGCATGGGTAGCCTCCATATGAAGGTATTTGTTCTAAACAAGTGAGAAGTGCAGCCTATTTGCATAATCTTTTAAGAAACAGGATACTTAATGTGTGTGTGTGTGTATATATATATATCTAATTTATTTTCTGACCTCAGAACTCTTGACTGATCTTGAAGAATTCTATCTTTTGTAATGCTAATGACACTGGTAGTTTTAAGTGTTTCTCAAGTCTTCCTTCCTGAGATAGTTAAAGATGGATTTTCTGAGGCAGAACAGTAGCATGAGACAAACTGTTCCAAAGATAACAAAGGCTAAAAGCCTGCCTTTTCACGAATGAACTTTTCAGTTCATTTATTTTAATAGCCAGAACTCAATTTATTTCTAAGTAGCCTGTAGTGAAATGTCGAGATTGTCATTCCTATTAACACGTGAATGCATTTCTGTTCTAAGGCTAAAAAAAGTCTCATTCTCTCTCCCTCCCTCTTTTCTAGTAGGTACCCTTGAAAGTAAGACAGCCTGTTGGGATGAAACACTGGCAGTTACCTCAACAATTCCTACTTCGCATTAATGACTCAACACTTAGCTATGTCCATGCCTTTTGGCAATTAGTACCTACCTGGAGCACACTGGAAGATCAGCTTATTTTTGTTGGTAATATTTTATTGAAATATGAAATATTTTGTGAAATCAATGTCCCCTGCCTTCATTTGTTTTATTTTTGCTTCTGCTGCTATGTCTTATGATTCTGATAGTAAACTGTTTGCTAGAATGTAATTGTCTTCTGCAGTGTCCTAAGAAATATAAGTGGGCACAGAGATTTTTCTCTTCAGGCAAGTTTTCCCTGAATGACTGGCTGCCTGAGTGGGGTTTTTCAAAATGTTGTACCTTAGTATTTTGAATGTGTTTTGCTGTTGGTTTTTTTCCATAGTGTTTGTTTTTAGTATTTATATACACACCTGTTGTTAGCTTTTATAGTGTCTTTTTAAAATATAAGCTATCTTGGGTCCTTTTAAGAGAAAGGCAGGATACAATATTTTTAATAAATAAATAAATAAATGAAGTACAATTTCCTCTATATGAAATAACTTCTAGCTGACTTCTAGTAAAATCTAAAAACTGCCAATGTAAGAAATAAATGAATGTTTTTCCACAGTTTTGTTCTTGTTGCTCAAATGTCCCCCAAGTAACAGCCTGGTGGTTTGATTAGCCATTTTGATTGAGCCCTAAATATCATAAGCCATTATAACTTTTTATGTAAAGAAAGATTGCTAGGACATATTGTAAATATGATTGTTTCCCAATTATCTGAAAGATTTTTTTCTGACTTCAGGTCAGAGCAATGCTTCCTGAAATGTAAAAACTTTGCCTGAAATCCAATTGATAGTCCCATCCAAATAATACCTAATGAATCAACTGTTGAATGCAATGTCAGCACATATCTGATTGTTTCAAAGCGTCAAGTCTAGTTGGGACCAACAAATATATTCAGACTTTTATTTTTCGAACTGTAATGGGATGAAATGCCAGAGCTCTGGCAACTAAAAACACTCTTTTCTTCAGCTGCCTCACCATTTACAATGGAAAGATCATTTGACCTCTAAAGATAGGCCATTGATACTCTATAGTAATATCTAGCAGGTTTAAGTTGAAAGAGTCAGTGCTGAAAGTAGCAAATATCTTATGTTGTGCCAATCAGAAAAGAAACTGGGTCCCTTAGATAGAAAAGAAATGTATCAGCTGCCCCCTCTGGATAGTGTAGAGGTTTGTCACAACAGGGATTGTGCTTAGATGTACTGCACCAATCACCTGGATGAGGCAGGCACATTGTGTCCAGTTTTAAAAGATGTATAAATTTGGATCAGGGCTTTGCTCTGTCAAACTAAGGGAGGTGAGCAACCTTACATGGCAATGGGCCATTTCTGACTTTTTGGCAGAGCACCCCCGTAAGAAATGCAGTTCCCTTCAAATTTGGAAGTGACTGAAAGTTCACTTCTAATGTTGGCCTAGTATAAACACTGACATACAGTGGTGCCTCGAGTTACAGCCATAATCCATTCCATTTATTTATTTATTTATTTTATTTATTTATCTATTTAATTTATATCCCACCTATCTAGTCAGCTCACGACCACTCTAGGCGGCTAACAATACACAAGTGATAAAAATAAACATATATAAACAGCATAAATAAAACCTTACACAGATAGGAAAGTAATTAAGAAAGAAAGAAAGGGACATCATGGATTGTCTGGTGGGAAGGCCTGCCGAAACATCCTTGTCTTCAGTTGGTTCTTAAAGATACCCAGCGAGGGAGCTCCGCGGATCCCAGGAGGTAAATTATTCCAGAGGCGAGGAGCCACCGCCGAGAAGGCCCGATTTCTTGTCTTCTCTTTCCGGGCCTCCCTCGGCGTTAGGCTCCTCAGCCTCACCTCCTGGCTCGCGCGAGTGACACGGGTAGATCTTG